CATGGCTGGACCTGCCGGGAGGTCTCAAAGTTACAGCTCCAAAGCTGCTCCGGAGTTGGGACCCTGTGCCGCCGGGCTCACTCCTGCCCCACGTCCTTGTCCTCTCTGCCTAACCCCGGCCGCTGCGAGTGCGGAGACCACCCTACACGCGAGGATCTCCACGGTCTGGGGCACGTTTGCCCTGTTTACTCTTTCAGATCTGCCTTCAAAGGCTTTCAGCCAAATCTTCAGAACCTCACACACCAGGCTTTCAGGCTAGAAATGTGCGCGTGGGTGTATTTGCAAACAGTTTGGAAGCTGGGAGGGGTGACTCGGTGCAAATACATTCGTAGCATAACATGCTGTTGATGTTGCATCTTCTCCCCCCCGACGTCGCACGATGTAAAACTTGGTGACTAGATCGTGCCAAGAGCCTTAATTCACCGCTTCATCAAAGGACAAGTTTCCATATTGCTGCCAGTCTCTTTTAGGGTAAACGCTCTGACAGGGATAGGAAAGAGGCGTTCAGAGTAGGAAAAAAGATGAAGCCACTAAAATGCAAATTTTATTCACAGTTGGCATGTTTATAAATATATATATTACATTCTTACAATCTACAGTACATTCTACATATAGAGGGATTCAATCTAAGTGTCTGTGGGAGGGCAGGTGTGTATTAAACTGAGCAACCTAGATTCGATGACAGAAAGACACTTAATGATGAAAGGAGGGCAAGGACCCACTCCGGAAAAGAAAGGAAAACTTGAAATATAAGCTGGATTTCCATTAGTGCTTTGGCACCTTGCCACCGGTCACTAGAGACTGCTTTCGGATCTCACAAAAAATGCCACGGGTTGGAGGGCACATGGGATTCAAAGGGTAATCACTGAAATCCTACCATATGTACACCCTTATCAGAGGAAATAAAAGATAACCATCACCTCTGGGAGAAACCAAGGTTATCTACCGAGCTTAGCTGCTCAATGCCCGATGTGCAGCACCTCCTGACCTGCCCCTGTCCTCCTGTGCCTAGCAGGGGCCTAAGAGGCACGAGCAGAAGGAACCGAACAGCCTGACCGCTCGGGGGCAGGGGACAGGGAGGCAGTTGCTGTTGGTGGCCGAGTTCAGCACAAGTTACACTTGCCCGCGTGAGAGTGGCCAACTGCGGGAAATGACGGCACGTAAAGCGGGTGCCAGAGGGGTAGCGAGTGTCCGTGCTTGGCAAGAGCGCAGCATGGAGTGCGTGTGGAAGGCAAGGAAGAAACTGCGTGCTGCCAAAGCTGGCTGATGCTAGGAAGTGCCCTCAGGATACCAGATGGGGAGCGCTCCAGGGAAATGGCTGGGAATACAAATTTGAAACAGGACAATCAAATAAAGCAGGCTTTAAAAAACAGCCTGTTCTCTCAAACTCCCCACAACAGGCCTCCCCTTTAAGAGTGACATTCTCAGTGTAGATTGTGTCTTCTCCTGTTTTACAAATTAAGAAATAATGAAAATCGGCTGGCAACGTTTATTACCTTGGCATCTACTTCAACAGTTTCCGTTTCAGCGTGTGTCCGTTCTCAGTGCTTGGGAGGCAAACATGCTGGTTTGTAAACAGCCCAGTTACTCCTGTTCCCGCTCCAGATTCTTTGGAAACTCCTGACTTTTCAGCTCTGAGAGCTGCTTTGCTCACACTTGGTTTTTGTCAGCTTTAAATTAATGTCCTTGGGTGGATATTCTCTGTGTGTGGCTTGAATGACATGCCTTCTTCGCGGATCCATTTACTCTGAGACCAATTTCTTGCTTTTAACCAAAGCTTGCAATACTGAACAGTAGAGCTGCATGAACATTGTAATATCCAGACTGCACTGGAGTTTGTTATGTTTATTGATTGCCTGGGAAAGCTCAGAGAATGAGACCGCATTATTTTGCTAAGGGTTTTTTCCACGTTACCATGCATCAAAAAACCACACACACCTCTCACTTCCCTCTCTGAGCACAGAGAAGACTTGAATTTTAAGAGGTGTCCGGGATCTCTGCTCTCCCAGCTGCTTTTGGGTGGCTTCTTGGGGCTCCACTGAGTTACTACCTGCCAGCTGATTCTCGTTATCAACACATCATTTTGCCCCACTACCCAAAATTAAAGGCAGAAGGTGAGTGAAAAACGAACGAACCAACCAAACCAAAGTGTCGTTTGTGTCTCATTACGCATTTTCATGTAACCTCTCCATATAGTTCTTAAGTTCTTTGCACTCCCCCAGGTCCATATCCTGGCAGACCCATTTAATGTCATCCTCACTGCTCATCAAGATTGAGTTGACAGTTGGGCACCCGTCGTCAGAGGAGATGGTGGTAAAGGTGGTGAATTTAACCCGTTTCCTTTTAGAGGTAGGAGAAGTGGTTGGTTCACTTTTCTGTTCTTTCCCTTCGGTGAATGTGGACTCAGTAGACCTGAAAGATTGTCCATTACTATTTTTGGTGGCATTTGTGTCGAGGAGATATTTGCTCTCTTCGTAGTCGACTTCTCTGTCAATGGCTGTGATACGTTCGTCTTGTTGGGATGAGAAATTGATGTGATTCTCCAGAAGTTCTGTCCTGTTGCTCAGCCCAACCCAGTCATGAGAGTGGCTCGTGCCTTCTTGCTCTTCAAAGGGGACTTGCTTGTTCCTGTACTTCAAAGCAAAGGTGACACAGTTGATAAGGAAGACCAGGATTGCCAGGCAAAAGACTCCCAGGAGAGCATACATTCCTATCTCTAGGTCGCTGAGTCCCCTGGGGGTCTGGATTAAGTCATTCTCTTCCAAGCCTCCGTTGTTGCTTGTCAGATCCACCTGTGCAGGGAAGCTTGTGAAGTCTATCAGGACGTTCTGCAGGTGGCTGTCATCATCCAGGAGGCTTTCTCTGTCTTCTTTTTTACTTAAAATAGACCTTTGGGTGGTGGTGCCTTTGCCTGGCTCATGGCCCACCGAGGAGCTGTAATACTGGCCATCTAGTCCCGCCCTCTCCTGCAAAGTGGTCTTCTGATGCCGGTCGCTGGCATGATTGTCGAGATGGACACCAGCACCCCTGTGTTTACTGTCACTGATGTTGGGGTTGGCATTGATCTGCCCAAACTTCACTTTAATGCTACCACTTCCAACAGCCAGGATGCTTTTTCTTTTGGATTTCTGGCAGGCTTCACTGATCACCATCTCTACCTTCACCAGTGTCCCCTGGCCTTCGGTCTCAGCAGCAATCACAGGCCACTTGAATTTGGGGTGATGGTGAATGGAGACCACCTTCTCGTCCAGAGATGTGGCTGACAAGGAGAAGTCTTTGGAGTCATAAATATCCAGGGGCATGACAGATCCATCACTGAACTGGATCCAGCAGCTGATGGCTGCTTCCTATAATACATAAAACAAATACACGCAGACTCAGAATAAACATCGAGGAAAATATGTTCTGTCCTGGTCTCCTCCCTCCTCCTCACACCGTTTATATAACCAGAAATAAAGAGGGAGAGCAGTAAAATTAATATCTTGCCAAGATGTGAGGAGAAATACTAGTTTAAAGCACTCATTGATAGCATGATTCGTTTCCCCAAAGGCGCTTAAAGGAGCTGTATCCCCTGGGCTCTGCAGAATCTACTTCAGCACTGTAATAAATTGCATGTCAGAAAGCATTACCAGTGGCTGAGATCATTTACTGTTGTATATTTAAATGAAAAAAAAAAATTACATTATTGCTAAACTGCTTAAAATACAAAGTCTCCTCTCGTTACACACAACACGTGTTAAAAAATACCTGCTACAGCAGATAGGTCCATGCATGGCTCCATAGCTTCAGCCCTTGAGTTTTCTCTCTCAAATAAAGTAAGTGTTGTGCACAAGCAGAGGAAACCAATCCGCTGCTCCTTTAGGAAAGGGCCAGGGTAATTTTCATGCTTGTTAGCAATTAAAAGCAAGACAATAACGAGGTTTAATCTTGTGCCATAGCAACGCAGACTGCGTACTTCAGAGTGCATGGTGCCTTTCTGAATGTAAATGGGTCAGACCCCAGTACTAATTCCGTGCGTGCATGTGTGCCGCGTTCCCGGGAACCCTGAAACATTTTAAAGGATTCTTAGATTTCAGGAAACATGTGCTCATGCATTTCTGAAAGTCAGGTCCCCTAGGGACTCTCAAATGGCTATCAAAAATTGTTGTGCTACCTGAAAAAAATCTTGGCATTCACACATAAATCATTTACAGACAGAATTCCGTTTGCTCTCCTGGAATCTAATTCCTGCTTCGGATGGCCTGGCTTACTCTCTTTGGGCTGAGATACCTGCACCTTACTAGACACTGGAGAATCCCTACCAGAAAGACTCCTGGCTTGGAGTGGATTCTTCGGTGTCTAAAATGATGTGAGCTCTTGTCTGGTCAGAGCTGGGGTCATCCTGCACGGGGCAGCCCAACAGACCAGCAAACACCCCACCAAAGGATCAACAACCGCACTCGCTGAAGCATGACTCTGAAAGTCTTGTTTCTTTAAAGGAGCAGTTTTTCCACCAGCTGGTATTTACATCCTAACTCAACACAGAGAGAGAATAAATATTTACCGTTATCTTTTGTTTCTAGCACACAGTCGTTCACCTGCTCAGATCACGGAGAAAAAGCCTCCAGTCTTTTGGGACTGTATTGTGCATAATCTACCGGCCTGATTCCGAAATCCTTACAGCCATAAAGCTCCCCGTGCTTCAATGGCAGATTTGCTTTCGTCTCTATTTCAGGACAGAGCCCTAAGACTTGGCTGACACTGTCATAAATCCCAGCTTTGTGTTTATTAATCTTTGGATATTTCTTGAAGGCCGCATAGAATTTATGTCATCGGCTCTCATCCTCCCACGGTGTTGCTTAAACCGGCATAATCATCTGGTGATTCTGCATTGCTCTGCTTGCAGGGATTGCGCTCTGAAAATCATGGAAGCAAGGGATGGAACCAGGCGCCTTTCAAATGGATTGCGCTCTGAAAATCATGGAAGGAACCAGGCGCCTTTCAAACGGAGTCAGTCCTTGAAGGGTGGAAGGTGCCCATCTTCCCCACCCAACCCTGCTCTAGCCCTGCATCCAGAGAGGGACCCATCTAGACTCCATTCGTGGGATCTGGAATGGCAGCGCTGCGCAGCGCGCTGGGGCTAAATGCCATCAGCCCCAGCTTTTGGGCTGATTTCAAGGTAATTTGTTTAACTCCCAATGTCAGCAACGGATTAGCTCACTGGTCTTATTTTTAGCTGCCTGGCATTGATTTTTTAACTCCTGGAAGACTGTGGGAGCCTGATTTTTATCACCCCATAAAGACAGCAGTTCATTATTCCTCATCCTGCGTCCCAAGGCTCAGACCCTATGACGAGTTAAAGCATCTCAACGGTTGGCCAGGTTTCCAACGTGCACGTCATAATCATTTACCTTTAAAGCTCAGAACGTGTCTAAGCGTACAGAGCCCAGTGCACCTTCAATGTCAGTCCCAGCCTGATGGATTTGGGTTGAAAAAGAAGCTTAAATTTCAAATGTAGACAGAGGCACAAGGACTAATACCAAACAGGGACTGATGAGGACATGGCAAAGTCCAGAAGTCCTTGATAACTGCTGGTTCCCTAATGTAGGGACTAAGAATAACAGGGAAAAAGACCGGGTTTGAAATCATGAATCAGGAAATGAGTCAAGATGGTGACTCATCGCCCAGTAATGAATCAGAACGAAAGGGATGGTCCCCAACTTCTTAAAACGCTCCCAGAAAGTGAAGGAAGAAGAGTTTGGCACAATGCAAAACACCTTCTCATTTAAAGATGGACTCGAAGTGTTGATTTGGATACCTGTGGCTGGAGGCTGAACTTGGCAACCTCATCGGCAACGTGTCCTGGGATTTAGTAGGTGCTGGATGGGACAGAAAGGGTGTGTGTAAAGGGACTTCTGCTGCTTAATTCTGGCAGGTCACTGGTTGTCTGTGTTATTTCTGGGATGCACCCAAGACAGATGGGGTATGGCTCTTTGGTGACTGGGGTGGTTTCCACATGGTGCTGTTTTGTCTGTTGGGGCACCTGATGGCCTTCAGAAAAAAGTGCCCATAAGAAAACTGTTTTATTAGCATATTATTTCTAAAAACCTGCTTGATCCCATCAGCTTGTGATGTTGGGTTTGGCGATTCAGAGCAGTGTCCTTCCACAGCACAGTACCTGTGGGTAAGAGTACCTGCTTTGGAGCCTGGAGCAGTTCTTGTGCTACCGCTGTAGCAAAGATGGCCTTGTTGCTTCCCGGACTGAGCTGCAGAGAGAGTGACAGTCCAGTTACCAGCTGCACCCCCAGGTCAGTTATCGTCACCTTCTCGTCCAGAACGGTCACTGTCTTCTCGGCCAAGATGGCATCTGAAAGCGGGGACAGGATCTGGAAAGGGAGATCGAAGTCAGCCGCAGCCCATCCGCACGGCACCAAGCGGCATAGCTGCACGGAGCTGCTGTGATGCGGGCAAGCGACGCCCCCGCTGATGGGCAGAGTTACTCCTAGCAGACAGACACTATTAAAATACGATTAAAAAATGGCTAGTCACATTTTATAACCCTTCTGCAATAATGGGGTGCTTACCCATCCTCTACCAACCTAAGTGCAATCAGCTATGCCACACACCTCTGTCATACGCAGACTGCATCTGTTTCAGATGTATTAACTATTTGTAAACGTAGTCTGTGTGAAATGCAGTTATTTTATTACTGATGCTTTTAGATAGCATATATATAATGCAATCTGTAGATTTATATAAAATCCACCCAATGAATGGCACTTATTTCTATCCTATAGAGAGGTCAATGTCTTGCTACAATAACCGGTCATGGTACTGAATACAAAACTGACAGAAAACTTGCTTTGGTTAAAGAAAAGCGCGCGGAGGTCAGTGCACTGAGACGTGACATCAAAATGCTCATTAGCAGCAAGTTGAATTTAATGATCCATACGGAGCACAGAGCATTTCTGAAGCAGTTTATAAGAGAAGTTCTTTAAATATTACTTGTGCTCAGCTTTTTTCCCCCAGGATCTTTCTTTCCGCAGCTCCATGTGCGTTGGCTGGGGCACCGTAAGGCCCAGTGCTCTGGAAAGCCGTTCACAAAATCTCTACAGGTTTTACACAAAGTCAAAGGTCTGGAATCCCATCACCCCAGCCCCGAGAGCCTGTGCTATCGGCAGGTGCGGTGGTTGTTTTCTGGTCTGACAGCCTGGGATGATGAGCATGTTTGGAGAAACAAGGTTTTTTTCCTGTTCCAGTGCTTGTTAACACCTTTTCTACTTTGTACTACCAGTGGATGAACCTTGCTCTCTCTCTTTTTTTGTTTTTCCTTTTCTTCTCTTCTGGGGCCCCATTTTCAAGGCCACAATTTCTCTGCACAGCAGGAGGAGCTATCTGTGAAAAGCTCCCAGCGACACGATGCACAGGGTTAGGGGAGGCACAGAGTGGGGACACTCTGCAGTGGCGTTTACAGGCCACCTCTTGGCCGTGTTGGCTGGAACTGATGAGGCCAAAGCGGCACCCCTGGAGAACATGGCTTAGTTGTCACTAATTATTCTTCCCATGTCATTCTACAAGTGCCATTTATTACTATGGCTTTGTGCATACTCTGAAATATACCCTAACGTTTATATTTTGTAACAGACTCCTGGAGCTTTCAAGGCATGCAGGGATTTGATCCCATGGGATGCATTCCAGTCTCAGTTCCTAGTTAATCTTACGTCACCCTTCGCTCTGCCAGCGTAGGCTTTGAGAAGACCGAACTGTTTCATCAGCTGCATGCCTTGTGACAGCCCATACGCTGGCTCCAGGTTCAAGAAAAGCATTAGGCAAAAGCAACCAGAAACAGCCTCCAAGTATACAGGTTGGACTAAATTCACTACAACTGTGACCTGCATTACTTCAGGGCACAAGCTAAGAAGAGCAAACCATCTCTTCAGCACCTTCCAGTCCTTGCTGCAACCCTGCTCCGTTCAAAAATGCACAGCTCCAGTTTCTGTGGCTAACGCAAGAGGCTGCTGTACACCCCATCACTACCTCTGTTCCCAAGGGGGTGGGCTAATGGAGGAAAAGGAAAAATAATTCTTTTTCCCTACCTGAATTGTCGTCATTCCAAGCTCCTGCCCAATCAAAACCTGTCCATCCTGCAGCTTGGCGATTCTGGGCTCCTCCACCTGCATGAAGTCACTCACCAGGTCGGTGATGTCGAGCTGCCAGTCGGAGCCCAGTAAATAGCTGAGCTGGCCGCTGGGCTCCGCGGTTTCAGCGACGAACTGCGTGAGGACTCGCACCAGTGCGTGCTGGTACTGGAGGGCGCAGCCTCTTCCCTTGCGTTCATCCTCCTCTTCATCGTCACTGTCCCTGGCTGGTCTGTGGGACAGCAAGAAAATAACAAGTAACTGAAACTGGTGCTGGGCGAGCTTGCAACAGGAGAGCTATTGCTGACACAGGGCTGCCGCCCGCTTGCTAAAACAGGGGACTTTGCCGTCCCTGTGCCCCTGCTGCTCTGCTGGAGCTGCTTTCTTCAGCACATTTCTGAAATTTCTTCATCGTCACTGTCCCTGGCTGGTCTGTGGGACAGCAAGAAAATAACAAGTAACTGAAACTGGTGCTGGGCGAGCTTGCAACAGGAGAGCTATTGCTGACACAGGGCTGCCGCCCGCTTGCTAAAACAGGGGACTTTGCCGTCCCTGTGCCCCTGCTGCTCTGCTGGAGCTGCTTTCTTCAGCACATTTCTGAAATTAACCGGGTTGAGAGCTATTGCTGACACAGGGCTGCTGCCCGCTTGCTGGAACAGGAGACTTTGCCGTCTCCCTGCCCCGCTGCTCTGCTGGAGCTGCTTCCTTCAGCGTATTTCTGAAACCAACCGGGTTTGACCCCTTTTGTCCTGTTTCCCTTGTCCTTAAGGGACACTTGCAGGCTGCCTCCAAAAGAGTTGCTAGAATCACCACCTGCCTGCTAGCTTTGCTGCCACCTCGCTCTCTCCAAATATCCCTCACTATTTTCCATGCTAAGTCCTTACTTCCAGGACCTTCACACTTTTCTCTTTCTGGATCTTCCCATAACATCTTTGTGTTGCCATGGAAACCTTCCCTGCCTGCACCTACACACACATCCCTTTCTGTGTAGCATTCAGGCTGATATCACATCCCCACCAAAACCCTCATCTCTCTGCTGTGATCCTACAAGAAACATGGTGCTAAACTAAGTCTTCATGGGTAGGTGGGAATAGCAAGTACCAACTTTATCAATTTGTTCTCCTGGTTCTTAATAACACTGACAGCAGACACCAACAGTCCAGACCTGCCTACATCCATCCTCTGTCCTGTCACTCACACGCCACTGACCTGTGGGCACAGACAGTACCTTCAAAGCCCTACTGTATCACTGTCCTGAGTTTGGGACACTGATCAGCGCCGCTGGACCCTACAGCAACACGAAACAAGTACGCACTAACCGTGACTGTTAGCAGTGAGTAAGTTAACTGGCAGGACCCACCAGCCAGACTGGAGGCTGACCAGCCTTGCCAGAGCTGGTCCTTGTCGGTGTCTTCCCGCTGCCCCCATGACACATCGTGCCTAACTTGACCGACTGGCTCTTTCCATCGCAGACACTAGCGCTATAAAAGGAAATTCATTTCCAGTGTAGGATCCTGCCACCTGCAGTTTCCATCTCCCTCATAAGTCCAGCGCAGGAGCCTACTGAATAAATGTCTGGTGACCTTCAAATTTATACCAGAATTGCATTAAGGCCAAACAAGCATGTTAAGATCCACTGGCTCTGACAGGTCTTTGGCAAGTGCACAGCCCAGAATGAACATCCTCTAATGAAACCTACCTCTTATTAGAGATGATCGGGACTCTCCACCCCTTGATCTGATTTAGTTCTGTGTCAGAGACCTCTATCTGCAGCGGGAGACGAGGAACCCAGACTGTCATTTCTAAAGGAGCACTCAGATGCTGGTAAGTAAAATTAACTATGACATTCACTTTGCCTTTCATTTCCTTCCCATTGACAAAGACATAGTCACATCTGTCAGAAACCTGAAAAAAAGGAGAAAGGAAAAAAAAATTAATGAGTTTCTTCCCAAATTATGAAGTACTCCACCTGCTGGGAGAGTGAGTGGAGGAAGAGAAAGGATATAGGTTTAAACTAGCTCCAAGTTCAGGGGACAACTTGGAATAACAAGAAAGGTGCCTGGTGTGTCCTAAATAACCCGTATAATTTGGCATCATTTTAATAGGCAGGGTTTTTCTGCTATAAACATTTCCAGTATAATCTAATATAAAAGAACAGGTTCTTTCCGTCCTTAATTCCCACTCCAACACAGCAATAGAGTCCCAGTATAATGGCACCGAAAGAGGATTCTTCTCCTCTCCCCAGAGCCCATCAGACCCTACTTGATGTGCGGGGAGAGACAGGTAACTGCCCCGCAGAACTAAGTAGGGACTGGTTTCTCTAGTCAACCCCCAACTGGGACAATGGGTTCTTCAGGAGTCCCGTTAACAGGGCACGGGGTGGTCGCATCCACTGAAAACCAGTCACGGGGAAGAGCTCCCTGACGGCCGGTGGGGTTTACCGGGGCCAACCAGCTTCATCCCTGCTGCAAGGCCTTGCACCGTGTTCCACTCAAGCTAGCCCTGATGTCACGCCATTTATCACCTGCAGCTCTGGACATCAGTATTGCTGGGAGTTACTAAATCTCACTCAAGTGATTTAGCAGCTATTGCACGGGTCCAGGTGAGCTGACAGGGCCTGCTCATTATAGCTAGTTAAAATATATGAGCAAATGTACATGTCAAATGATTTATTTAACTACTGCTTTACCATGCTGATGATCTGAAGGAATGATCTATTAAAACCCTGAACTCTTTTCACAATCCATTACCAGCCAGACCTCCTATTCCATTCTGTAGATGCATTTAATAATTCTGACTCCAGAACTCACAGTCTCATCCTCATCTGAATTTAATGCCATTTTCTACTTTTCTTTTTAAACGCTAAATGAATTTAAATCGTATTTAAATACCACCAGCTTTTGTAGGATAATTTGCATTCCTAATATTATTATCTTTAAACAACCACCCCCCTTACAGTTAGATCCAGAGCAAATCCATTTCCATCCTTGCTTGTCTGAGCCTAGGTAACATACCAAAAAGGTTATCGTGGCTCTTGCAATGCCTGTCTTGTTAAGGTCAAAATCTTAGAGTTGCCATTTTTTTCGGCAGGAAAATGAGGAGTTTATCTACAGACAGAGTTATGTTTTGGGGATATTCTTGTGTTGGCATGTTTTACATTGGCTCTTAACAGGATCCAGCACCCTTGTGCTGCACAGCAAGAAAACCTAGCTGCTGTCAAAAAAGCCCCAGAGCAGGAGTGTGCAGCCGAGGGACACTTGCGGCAAGCAGCTGAGCACAGGCGAGTCCTGGTCGGAATGGACCTGCAGGATACCCACGCCATCATCATCCTGATCCAAGCTGGCTGAGCTGGGGGAGATGAGACCCCACAAAACCCCAGGGAAGCTTCATGTGAGCCTTCAGGTACGGCTATAGGGAAGGCTGGAGCATACGCACCTTCCCCTTTCTGGAGCAGCAAGCGAGCAGACGTTATTCCTGCATCCTCATGGGGGGCTCCCCGATGCTAGTGCATTATTCCAAGGGTAAGAACTACATGATACTTCCTACCTTCAATGTCTAGTAGCCTGTCCAACACGCAGGAAGTCAGAAGAGCTTCAGGCAGCGCTCCTTCTCCCATTCCATCGGGTACCTTGCTTCCCTAAGGTGGAATCCATCTATTCCTTACCGGCACTGCTCTGACCCCTGTTACCCTGTTGTATCTAAGTGCTGTGCTCAAACCAGACAATGCTCCTTAAGCGTCACTAAGCTCTGTCTGCTGCTTTCTACCTTCCCGCTTTCCCATGGGATTCCATGGGAAGAGCAACTGGGCAGCCTCCAAGTGCTAATTTCCACCTGAGAGATGGAAGCTGGGGACAAAGTGGCCCCAAGGAAAACATCCCGCCTGGGAGCTGACGGCCCTGAGGTCCTCCACTTGTCTGCTCTGCAGGCTGGACACAAGTCCTGGGGACAAGGATTTTCTGTAGCAGGGCACAGTGCCAGGAAAGAGCTTCCCCACCACCTCTGCCCCCAGCTAGCAGCACCTCATATGTGTGAACCTTAGCTAATTAACGCATTAGGCAATTAAATGTCCCTGTGGTTGATGGACCTAGGACTGAAACCATTCCTTAGCTATTTAAGGTGCCCAGTCAACTTTTGTGCCTTGCAGCACAGAATTCGTAGGTGAGGGATGTTCCCAAGGCCAGTGCCCTCTGCGGAGCAGCGCACTGAGCCCCTGGAGCACCCCCCTTCCCCTCTGGCCTCTGCTCGGCACTGACAACGGGGCTTCTAGGAACCTGCCCAAAACCCCACTGCCTGGGCGCTGCGTCTGGAGCCCACCCCGGCGGGGTTTGGTGTTGGTTCGATTAGTCTGTGTGAAGAGCAGCTCAGCACACGGGAGCAATGCTGGGACTCTCCCAGGCAAAGAGATAACTGCTGGGTTGTGCTAGTAAGGGACAAGAGTCAGACCCTCAGATTTCAGATTCATTACTGCTGAGGCAAGAGCAAGAAAATTCGGAAGCCAGGCAGACTTCAGTTCCAACTTTATCAGGGGTTTAGAGTCAAAAAACAAGAATCTGTCCCTAAAAACCTACTATATGAATGATTCAATAAATACCACGACCTCGTGCTGTCGCAGTTATGGTTTATAAAACAAACGGACAGTCAGGAATGAGAGACTGGACCTGGGATACGCTCTTTCTCCCGTTTCCCTGTCTGTCAGCGGGGGCAGCAACAATGACAAGCTCATTCAGCCCCAGCCAGCCCTTCACTGTTTGAATGAATAAGCATCACTGTTCTGCTGCAGCTCGTGCCATCCTCACACAGCAACCCCAGGACGCAGTGCAGAGTACAGTGCGTTTTCATAAACCAGGCCAGGATGCTCAGAAACAGGTCACCGACAGAAAGGCTGGCTGGCCATGCCTGTGGGACTGCAGACATGTCCGAACCATCCACCCTC